TTGCCATCCACGAGGCGATGGAGCAACAGACCATCTCCATTGCAAAGGCCGGCATCACTACCACCCTCAACTCGCGCGCGAGCGTCCTTGCCGCAGCCAACTCCGTCTTTGGGTGCGTGCGTGCGTGTACGTGTGTGTGTGTGTGTGTGTGTGTGCCATTGTGTGATTGGAACGCTGCGTGGGTTGTGGGCTGTGCTGTGCTGTATTGGTGTTGCTGTGTGATGTGCAAACTTGCGATGGCACGGCTGGTTGCTTTATGCAGTTGTACGTGACTGTGTAGGGTTGTACCTGGTCCGATGAGTCAATGCTTACTCCAACACCACCCTCATCACCACCATCACCACCACCGCCATCACTGCTTCCTTCTCGCATTTGCTGCTCACAGCCGCTGGGACGACACAAAGGAAGCTGACGAGAACATTGAGTTTCAGAGCACCATCCTCAGCCGTTTTGATCTTATCTTTGTCGTCAAGGACGAACACAACCGCGAGCGCGATGAGGTGCGGCGCATGCGTGTGCATGTGTGTGCGTGCATGTGTGTGTGTGCATGTGTGTGTGCGTGTGCATGTGCATGTGCGTGCATGTGTGTGTGCATGTGTGTGCTTCTATGTGTATCTATGTGCGTTGATCATCGGCCTGTCAGCAGTTGTATTGGTGAAAAGCCTACAACACCCCGCCTGCGGCCCACACCTCACACCTCACACCCCACACCAACCCCCACCTTGGACCACCAAACAGCACCTTGCACGTCACGTGATGGGCGTGCACTTGAACGCAGAGGACCCGCAGGCCGAGGGCGAAATGGACGTGGCCTTCCTCAAGAAATACATCCAGTACTGCCGCATGTACGTCTCGCATGTGTGTGTGTTTTGTCTTTTGTGTGTTTGTGTGAACATGAATGTGCTTTGGTCGCAATGTTATCCCGTACACGCAGTAGCATGCATGGCCGACCAGCTCATCATCATCATCATCATCACCATCAACACCATCAACACCATCAACATCATCAACGCCATCAACACTGCTACCGTCATCCTGTTCACCGCCATGATCATCATCCTGAAATTCTGTCTGCAGGAACTGCGGTCCGCGGTTGTCACCACCGGCGCTGGAGAAACTCAAGAACCATTTTGTGCAGGTACTCCATCCATGGTGGACTGCGCACACACACACACACACACACACACACACACACACACACACACACACACACACACACACACACAAATGCACACGTGCATACACGCGCACACATTCTACACACGTGTACACGCACAAACACACACGCACACACACACACACATGTGTACACGCTCACATGCACGCATGCACGCACGTGAACACGCTCACTCTCACTCCCTCCCACCACCACCACCACCACCACCACCACCACCGCTGCTGCTGTGCAGATCCGAAGCGAGGCGCATCGCCAATATGTGGAGACGGGCAAGCGCCCGGCCATCCCCATCACCGTCAGGCAACTAGAGGCCCTCGTTCGCATCTCAGAGGTGTGTGTGTGTATGTGTATGTGTGTGTGTGTGCGTATGTGCGTGTGCGTACGTGTATGTGCACGTGTGCGCTTCTATGTCACTACTTGTGCATGTGTGTGTGCGTGTGCGTTTGGGGTCATGAGGTTGCACGTCGTTCCTCACCTCCCTTCATCACATCACCACCCGTATGTACTCATGTCGTGCTGTGTTGAGTGCAGTCGCTGGCCAAGATGAAGCTTGCGCCGTTTGTGTCTGAGGCGGACGTCGACGAAGCCATTCGCCTGTTCAAGGTGTCGACAATGAGCGCTGCCATGGCGGGTCATCTCAGCGGCGCGGAGGGCATTGCTGACCAGCAGGCCATGGAGACCCTTCACAAGGTGCAGGGCTGCAACCGTGTGCACACGTGTGATGATGTGAATGTATCATTATGTATGTGCGTGCTTGGATATATGTGTTTGCATGCGCATATGTGTGTGTGTGTGTGTACGTGCGTGCTCGGGTACATGCGCGTATGTGAGTGTGTTTGCATGTGTGATTGAACGTGTATGCGTTCGTGCAATACATGTGTGCACGCGTGTGTTGTCGCGCACGTGGCTCGTGGCCGCACCACCACCTCACATGCCACTGCCCCGTTCGTGTGTTCAGATTGAGCGGGCCATCAAGAAGGCATTCCCAATTGGTTCGCGCGTGTCGGAGAAGCGAATCTTGCAGGACCTCGACAACAAGGTAACGTCATCACGCTGCAGCTGCTGCGACCTGCTGTTGCTGTTGTGACTCAGCCACACACACATGCACACACACACATGTGTTCAACTTCGCCACTCACTCCACTGCTACCACACACACACACACACACACACACACACACACACACACACACACACACACACACACACACACACACACACACACACACACACACACACACACACACACACACACACACACACACACACACACACACGAATGTTTCTTGTTGTTCGCTTCTTGCTTGGGTGGCTGTTCAACGCTTAGAGGAGGGATGTTGTAGTAACACGAACAAACGTTGTTGGGTGCTTGCTTGCTCGTGTTGCGGATGTGCGCCTGTCTCAAGGTCACGTCACTGGAACTGCTGCGTCTCTTTCTCTTCACTCGCTCGCGAGGTCGGAGGTGAGAGCAGCAGTCAGCAGCGCACTTGTTGACAGGCGCAGCCAACACCACAGCAACGTGACGCACACACACACACGAGTAAACGGCAAACCATGCACACGCTTGTAACGCAAAAAGGAATGCGTGGGGAAGATAAGATGGGAGGGCACAGAAAGCATCATTAACAAGCAAGTGCTTGAAGGAGTGGGCGGCGAGCCTTCAGCAGCAACGGTCCAGCGGCTGCAGAGTCACGCAGCAGACACAGACACAGACACAGACACATCTCAATCTGCGTTGCGCAGCTCAAACGCAGCCGGCTCACGGGTTTGAGGCGTGAATGTGGAAGGGCTTTGTGTCCTGCGTTGGCTGAGGGCACAGCACCTCCACATACTGGAAGATGTTGTTGATGGCTTCAACAATGGACTGCCACAGAGGATCGTGGTTCCAGTCAGGGTTCTGTTGTGTGTTGTAAGAGCAGGTAATGCGCGGTGGTGAGTACGAAGGAGCTGGTGGTGGCCGGGGCTGATACAACGGCGCGCAGACAGGCAGACAGACACAAAGACAGGCAGGCAGACGCGGAGGCACAAAGGAGACAGCCACACACACACACACACACACAGACACTCACTCGCACACAGACACTCACTCGCACACAGACACTCACACACACACACACTCACTCGCACACACACACAGACAGACACACACAGACAGACACACACAGACAGACAGACACTCACACACACAGACACAGACACACACACACACACACTCTCTCCTCCCTCAACGCCCACGCAGAGCATGTGCAGGGCTTACGATCTGCTGGAGAGTCTCCTCGAGGGCGTGGACGAGCTGCTCCACGATGTTGACAATCTCGGTGCATGTGGCGCATGGGCTCTGCGCAATCTTGGTGAGGTTGCCAACCAGGTCCTGGCTGATGGCCTTGACCACCGTGGCCGCTTCTTCAAGCTTGTGGCGGGTCGCGTTGTCCTTCTCGTTCGCCGCTGCCACCTCCAGCGCAACCTCGGCGGAGGTCATGATGATCTGCGTGCCAGCAACGATCTTCTCCAGGAGGCGGAGCTGCGTGGCGTTGAGGCAAGGTGGGCTCACATCGCGGGGCTCCATATGGAACATGGCCAGCTTGCTTGGGCACACAATCTCCGCAATCTGCAGGATGTCGTTGATGGCGGTGACGATGAGCTTCCACGTGGTCGTGTTCTTAATGTCGGGGCTGATGTGGGAGATGGTCTGCTCAATGGCGGTTGCGCTCTCGTTCACCACGCGCACAATCTCGGAGCAGTTGCCGCACGCGGAGTCCACAATCTGCGTCAGGTTGGCCACGAGATACTTGTTCACGTTCTGGATCACCACGGCGGCCTCCTTCAGGTCCTGCTTCGTCTTGGCGTTGTGCTCCGCGGCAGCCGCAATGTCCAGTGCCGTCACGGCCGCAGAGAGCGTGATCTGGATGCCGGCGATGGCGTGCCGCAGCTCGTCGTCCTGCTTTGGAGTCAAGCAGGACGAGTTGCCCTTCTTGCCGAGCACAAGGCGTGCGGGGATGACGCCGTCTTCAACCGGCATGGCGACCGCGCTGGTCACCGCAACCGCGGCCACAGCCACGAGCAGCACCTCAACAGCCCACGTCCAACGCATGCTTGTTTGTTTGTTTGCTTGCTTGTTTGAAGAAGAAGAAGAAGAAGAAGAGCGATAAGTTGGGGCTGCTGTATTGGGTGTTGGGAAATGGGGCGGGAGATGTCGCGTGTTGTTTGTGTTTGGGACGCGAAGCGCTGATGACTCACAGCGAGGTGTGGTGTGGTGTCAGGGTTTATGTGGAGACAGCAGAGTCAAACCTTGCTGTCACGTTCACACAACACACGACACGCAGAGAAAGCAAGGCGTAGGGGAGGGGGGGATGTTCCATGCTGTGTTGTATGTAAGGGGTTGAAGAACGAAACAGGACAGAAGGCTCGGTAACAGGAAGCACGCACATCAAGAGCACACAACACGAATAACAAAGGCAACAGCAACATAAGCAACAGGTTGACGGTGCGCATTCCACCACCATCACCATCCCATCGGTCCATCACCATCATCACACGAATATCTCGTTCTCGCTGTCGTTGAGCGAGGGTGTCTGGGACGAGCGCCGTTCGGGCTCTGGCGGCTCCCGCCTCTCAACACGAGGGCTCTTCTTCTGGTGCTTCGGGTCGGCTGCACAAAGCAGTTGTTGATAGTGGTGGTTGGTGAGGGAGGCGTGGAGAGGGTGTGTGGTGGAGAGGGTGTGTGTGGTGTGTGTGGTGTGTGTGTGTGTGTGTGTGTGTGTGTGTGTGTGTGTGTGTGTGTGTGTGTGTGTGTGCGTGTGTGTGTGTTTGTGTGTTGGTGAGTGGTGAGTTTGAATTGCACGGACAGAGAGATCGCAAAGGACAGACAGACAGATAGATGCACACACAGACACACAGACACACACAAGAAAAAGTGCTCATAAGCATACACACAGACACACACACACACACATTCACGCAGACGAACCGGTCTGGTTTTCCTGGAACATGAGGCCCATGGTGATGGTGCCACGCGCATTCTCGAGCTGATAGTTGGTCACCGTCTCCTTCAGCGTCGACACAGAGGAAATTGGCACAGAGAAGCTGCCAAGGACCTTGTTCCGCGTCCAGTGCTGTCATGTGTTGTAACATGAGTGAGTGAATGAGTGTGAGTGCGTGTGTGAGTGAGCGTGAGTGAATGAGTGTGGTTTGTGATAGCAATTGTGGTTGAGTGTGGTGTTGCAAAGACCTACCCACGCACACGTATGCCAAACACATGCACACCCACATCCGCACACCCACACCCACACGCACATATCCGCACACACCCGCACATCTGCACTTGACGTTCCTTCCACACCCCAAACGATGCTGTACCTCGTGGTCTTTGACGTGGAAGGTGACAACGCTGTTGAGAGGATCGTTGATCCGGAAATCCAACTTCTCATTCCACTCAGGATTGATGGTGCGCTTCTTCCACTGCACACACACGCGTTGGGTTTGAGGTGGACAGGGTGTGGAGGAGGTGGTAGTGTGTGTTAGGGCTGCGTGCAGACGGGGGGGGGTAGTGGTGACGGCAGCATGCGACATTGCACACACACACACGCACACACACACACACACACGCACACGCACACACACACACACACACGCACACATACACATACACACACTCTCTTTCTCTATCTCTCGGGTGCATGCATGCCACGAGTGCCCTCACCTGCGTGCGCTTCTTGCGGTGTTCGCACTCGATGGAGACGTACGGGTCGCTGAATCCGTTTGAGTTGGCGGCGGGCAGGTTCTCGCCACGAATGATGTTGAGCAGGAGGAACCCAGGCTTGGTGGGCGCACCAACAACTGCTTCTCCAAACGATGCACACACGCACACATGGCGCAATGTCATGCCATGTCATGTCGTGTGACGTGTGAGGGTGGAGACGGCGAGCATGGGAAGAAGGAGAACGAGACCAGTGCACAGGTGCGCATGCACATAGCAGACACGGACACGCACATATGCGCATTTGCACACACCTGGCGTCTCCTCGTTTTCCGTTTCAAACTCTGGCGTGTGCTTCTCTTCATCGACGCCCACGCCAGCCTGCGAGGGGAGGAGGCAACAACAGCAGCAGCGATGAGCTGGGAAAAGCGACGATACACATATCACACACGCGCACGCACAGACACAACACAACACAACTTAACTCAACTCAACAACACAATACACCCCGCCCCTGCACACACACACAACACAACACAACACAACACAACACAACACAACACAACACAACACAACACAACACAACACAACACACACACACACACACGGGCGCAGGACTGGCAAACCTTTGAGCCGACGACGAGTGGGTGTGTCTGCTCCTCCTCCTGGCGCTCGGCCTCAATCTTGTCGCGCAGGTCTATGTAGTCTGCCCACGTCAGGCGCCGCCGCGCTGTCACATCCTCGTCTGGCTTCACCGTCCGCAGCTCAATGCGCACCTGGGGCAGGGGTGGTGGTAGAGGAGGTTGAGGAAGAGAGCGTGTTGAGCAGACAGAGATACAAGTGAGAAGAAGGCCACTGTGCCCGTGGCGCTTTGTCGCCGGGCGAACGTCCTTCAGATCCACGAGAAAACACGCAACACGCAACACACACATACACACATACACCCTCAACCAACCAACCAACCAACCAACCAACCAACCAACCAACCAACCAACGAGCAACCAACCAACCAATCAACCAACGAGCCACCAAGATCCCACAGCACCTCAATGTGCTCACCTCAATGCGACCGCCGCCCTCGAGGTCAAACACGTCCTGCATCACGCCGTGGTGCGCCACCTCCTTCAGTTCAACCGTCAGCGAGCACTTGGCCTGCTTCTTGCGCAGCCGCTGCGTCTCAACAACAGCAAACACAGCCTTTTCCGTGAGAATGTCCTTGACCGGCAGCGAAAACTTCTCGTGGTACACCGGGTTGCTGCCGGACTTGGAGCTCGTTGACAGCTGCACGCAAAACACAATTTGGGGGTGTTTTTTTTTTTTTTTTTGGGGGGGGGGGGGAGGGGGGGTAAATAGAGAAAAATGGTAAGAATGGTGACCACCAGATGTGCACGCACACACACACACACATTCCATGTACACAGACACAGACATACACAGACACAGACACAGACATACACGTACACAGACACAGACACAGACCTGCGTTGCGCCGACGGTGAGGGTGACGCGTGGCGACTGCATATCTGGCAGCGACATGCACCGGATCACGTCCACAAACAGCGCACCAATGGCCTGCACACAACAGGTGGGCACACGCAAACACACATGCACAAACGTGCGTCGCCCAGGCTGTGTGAGGCGGGGTGGAAGTTTGGATGGAAAACAACGAGATAGCAAGCACAGCGCACGCTTACAGCCACGCACAACACATTCGCAACAGGATACGCACGTGCTCCTCTCTGTCGTGATCAAAGTAGGCCTTGTCAACCCTGAATATCGCGAGAGAAGCAAGAAAAGGCGTGATGTAGGATGGGGAGTGGGGAGCGTGGAATGGAAGAGAGGGCTGTCAGGTGACTGCATGACAACATGGAGGAAACAACGCAACACGCGCCGGCCCATTCACACACACACACATGCACACGTGCGCATTCACACATGGTGAGCATCACTGGCTACTTACGTTGGTTGGAACGGCTTAAACTCAAACTCGACGTTCATGAACCCGGCAGGCTTGCCCTGTTGACGCACAAGCAATTGGTGGGCATCAACAAACACACGCACGAGAATAGAAAGGGGCCTTTCACCAACACACACACACACACGCACACACACACACACACACACACACACACACACACACACACACACCAGTGGTTCTTGCCTTGTATTGGAAGTCGAAGGTGCGTTCGATGATGGTGTCTGGGGCATCCATCAGCGTGTCTGTCGTCACTTCGGCAAACCCGAGCGTGTCGTGCGAACCCACCCGGTCGTAGTCCTTGCATGTGAACGTGAGGTAGCGGCGCGCCCGGTTCATGATGATAAAGTCAAAGTGCTCGTCCCACACCGGGTTGGGGTTGTCCTGAATCACTTTCGTCTTGGCCTTGATGCCATCGCCCTCCTGATAAATCATCGTCACATATGGATCAGACTCGCTCAGCCGGTCCGCCTTCCTCAGGCCCTTGGCGTTGCGGATGTGCACGCGCAGGAGACCAGCGGGCGGCACACGCAGGCTGCGCTTCACAACAATGTCGTTTGGATCGAAGATCTCCACGCTGAACACACGCGGCCACAGCAGCTGCATATCCGCCATCCCGCGCAGCGCAAACCGCCTGATGACGAGGATGGTGGTGATGATGATGGTGGTGGTGGTGGTGATGGTGGTCAGGGGAAGACATGTTGTGATGATGATGACAACGACGGCACCCATAGTGAAGGCAGTGGCGGTGATAGTAAGTGCAAGGGCATGCATGACATGTAGAGGTGTAATGTGACAAGCCACGAGCGATGTGCACGCGTGGGGGCGCAAGACACGTCGCAGGGTGCCATCACGGCAAAAAGGAAGCAAATGCGACAGCAAACGCACTCGACAGCGGTGTTGATGCCAAAGGTGAGAAAGGGGACGTTCATGATGGGGATGTGGAAGATGTTGAGGTTGAAGTCGAAGTTGGGCACCGACAGCAGCGACACATCCGCGTTGGCAAAGCAGGGGAACACCGGCACGAAATCCCGCAGGACAACACGCAGGCGCGCTGTCAGACACAGGTCGCGCACTTCAATGGGGACCGTGAACTTGGACTTTGTGATGTGGGCCATCACATGCACGTCATTGCCAATCTCCAAGTCGAGGTCAAGCATGACGCGGGAGTTGATGTAGGTGTTCTTGATGGCGCGCAGCGCAGACACCAGCGGCGGCTTGCCAAACGTGACATCCACGCGCACAGAGTCCACAGGCAGCGTGCCCTCCTGCTGCATCTTGTCCACGGTGTCCTGGATTGCCTCGTCAATCATAGAGCCAATGCCCTCCTTCGCCCGCGGCCAGATGCCAGCGATGAGCTCGTTCAGCCACTCCGCCTTGTCCCACGACGGGTCCTTGCACCACATGGGCAGCGCGTCGTGCAGCAGCACCACCTCCTCTGCCGTCAGCTTCGTGCCGTCCTTCGGCTTGTCGGGCTGCTGGTTCACCCGCGGGGGTGCGCGGGGGCTGGCGCGACGGTACGCGTCGTACAGCGCAAACGCCACCGCCGACAGCAGGCACACCCAGCCAACACCAGACAGACGCCACACATGCGAGAACAACAGCACAACAAACAGGAGACCAACGAGCAGCGCTGCGCCCTGCACGTCCGAGGGCAGGCCGTCAAACGACTGCTTGCCGATGACACTGTACTTGCGCGCAAGCCCGAGATAGCGCTTGAAGGAGGACTGCCCCTCCTGCTCCTCTTCGCCATCACCGTCTGCTGCCGCTGTCTCTGCGAGCTGCTGCCTGCGCTGGGTGGTGGAGATGCTGCTCGCCGATGACTGGCGCCGACTGCCATCTGTCGTCTGATCGGACGAGCGGCGGGACGCCGGGTCCGTCCATCCGTCGTCTATCGACGCCTCCAACAGCGCAGCGGCGTCTGCGCCTTTGCCTTCAAGCTTCTGGCTCACGCTGGCGCGGGTGAGTGCAGACTTGCGGGAGACGACGCTTCCGCTGCGGAAGATGGAGCGCCCACCCGTGTATGTGGCGTTGACGGCGCGAAGGGTCACGTGTACGGCGATCAGCGCATCGGTGTCGCACGCAACCTCCTGGTGGGTTGGTGTGACGAGGGTGGTGGTGATGTGGAGGGAGGCGAGCAAAGAAGGGCGAAAGGGGTGAAGAGTGAGGCGGAGTCCGAGTGGATAACAATGCAGTGTGTGTGTGTGTATGGTATCGGGTCTGAGAGCTGTCGCAAAACAGACAGACACGCAAAACACACACGCACACACACACACGCACACACACAAAAACTCATGAATAAGCGCGCACGAAGAACGCACCACGTATTGTCCGACGCGGTGGGAGTAGAGGTCCTCTGGGTCAAACTCGTAAGTGGCAGTCCCGAACTTGCGGTCGAGTGTGAAGCGAATCTGTGTCGGCATCCCCGAGAACCGGTCAATCGGAAACGCAAAGCCTGATGGTGGGTTGGAGGTTGGACGAGACATGGTGGAGGGTTTAGAGGGGGGACGATGAGGTGGTGAAAGTGGGGCGTGAAGGTGAAGTGAGCGTGTGGTTGAAGGCAAAGCGAGCGAGTCAAAGGCGCGTGTGTACAATCACACGTTCTTCAAACCATCGAACCCACCTTGCTCGTAGACCGCCTCGCCACGGAAGGGAGCGACGGCAAGCGTCTTCTTCGTCCCCGTCTCATAGCCGTAGCCAACCGTCACCTGCGACAGCAGGGCGAAAACATGACGGCTGTGAGGTGAGCGGTGGGGAAGGGGAAGGGTCACAAACTGCAAGCCGATGGGCATACACACACGCACACACATATACACTCGCACACACACACACACATGTACATTCGCACACACGCATACATACACACGCACACGCACACACATGTACACTCGCACACACACATACACACACACAGCACAGATTAGTTCAGACTTACGGCGACTGGCTTGTCTGTTTGGATGTTGGTGCACTTGCGCACGTCAACGTAGAGGTAGCCAGCGCTCCAGATGTCACTGGGCGGCGTGTTGGGGATCATGGGCTCAAAGATGAAGGGCTTGTACTGCAGAATTAGGTTGAGTGTACCGGCACCGCGCTTGCCAGAGATGACCAGGCTGCGTTGCATCTCAAGCTCAATGTCCGCAGGCAGCGTGTCGAGCGCCACCTCACACTTGCCCATGATGTCGTCGTGGCCAGCCTTGTCGTGGTCGTACACGGAGATGCGCAGGGTGTCGTGGGAGAGGTTATACACCTGGAACTCGTGCGACTCGTTCCACTCCGGGTTGAGGTTGTTGAAGACGGTCTTGGTGCGGAACACGTCGCAGTCGCCGCGGATCATCGCCTTTACATATGGGTCTGATTTGCCAAGCGCCTCAATATTGATCAGGTCCTGTGCACGCACGACAGTGACACGCAGCACCCCCTGCGCGGCGCTGGACATGAGGTAGCTCAGATGGGCCTCATCCTCAACCATGGGCACCACCACCTTCTTCGGCCACACAAGCTGGTTGGCCAGCACCTCGCTCAGCAGGTGCTTGATGAAGCGCTCAAGGTGGAACGGGATCTTGCCGGCTAGACGATGATGATGGTGGCGGTGGTGGTTGTGGTGTGAGCGGGAGGTTGAGTGCAAACGGGTTGGTGTGGGCGGATATTGTTTGTGACATGCAAGAAGGAACAAATGACACACACACACACACGCACACGCACACAAAACAGACACAACGCACACACTCGCACGCACGCACGCACACACTCACGCGTACGAACAAACCTCACACACACACACACACACACACACATGCACACACCTTGGAGGGTGTAGGAGAGGCGGGGCTTGCCGACGAAACTGGTGCTCATGGCCTCGAAGAACGGCGGCTCGGAGGACAGAGGTGACAGCAGCTGCCGCACGGTCGCTTCCACCTCCAGGTCCTGCACGCGCACGCTGGCCTTGAAGGCACGCGCACCTGCGACGAGCACAATGTTGGACTCGCCACGCAGGGTGATGCGCAGGTCAAGCGCAATGCCACCGTCGTCGAGCTCAACCTGGTTCACGGAGACGACTTTTGGCGGGTCGTTGGTGAGCTCAAACACATCAAACTTGAGGGTGGACAGGAAGGACGGGCGATACATGGCCAGGAGGCCCGTCATGCTTGCAAGCACGGCCTATGGCATAGGTGTGACATAGGTGTGATGGGTGCGACGGCGTGTTAGTTGAATATGAACTCAGGCACCGACAACCGAGTTGATGGACGGGCGTGTGCAGAGTCAAGTGAAGTCGAGTGAAGTGGAGTGCAATACCACCCACCCACCCACACACGACCACACCCACACCCACACCCACACCCACACCCACACACACACACACACACACACACACACACACACACACCAACACACACACACACACAACAACACACACAGAGCACATGCACACACGCAGAGCACATGCACACACACACACGCATCTTTCATACAACATTCCCATGTTGCAGATGAAGCGCACCTCCTCTGTTGCGGCTTTGATGGAAGGCCAAAGCAGCTCCAGGGCGGCGTTGACGGTGTTGGACTTTTCTGTCTCTGTGTAGGTGACCCAGCTGGGGGCAAACTGCTTGAGGCCGCCAGCAAAGAGCGTGGTGAAGCCACTGCGGTGCATGAGCGATCGGTGGTTCTGCACAACCTTGTGCTTTGTCTTGAGTTGGCGCTCGCGGAAGCGGGAGAATGCAATGAGCGCCGACAGCATGAGGAAGGTCATGAGGCCGAGGCCAAACCATGAACCCATCACGAGGGCGGCAATACACGCCGCCGTCCGCACCACAGCCTGACGTCCAGGCGTTGCGCCCTCCTCATCTTGTGTCCGCTTTGTCCTCTTGCTCTTGTTCCTCTTGATATCGGACGACTTGCTGCGGCTGCCGTTGTTGTCGTTCTTTAGGCTGGCAGGCCGAGCCTGCTTCGGCTCAGTGTCAGCCATGGCGACAGGCAGAAAAGAGGCAGGGATCAGCGTTGGGGGGGGGGAAGGAGGAGATGGAGTGGGTCGGGATACGGCAGGGTTGATCAAGGGTGCTTCTTGCGCGCTGTGCCTGTCTGCAACCAACCACTGGCAGAGAAACTAAAATGTGGTGGATAGCACGGGTGACAAGAGGAATTCTTGTGCGAAACAAATAATTGTTTGTGAGTCAGGACGCATTTGTTACTGTTACCTTCGAGTCCTTCCACCGAAGAAGGGGAAGGGAAGGCGGTGAGTGAGCGCAACGTCGATGACACGACAACAGCGGCGCAGCAACCACATACAGCACAACACCACGCAGCATCGTCAACGACAAGCAACCCAACACCACACACACACACACGCACGCACGACAGGGGAAATGGAGTGGCTGCGGGCAGCAAACGCGTGGGTGGAAGAGACCTTCTACAGCCTCGGGCTGTACTCGCGGCTGCAGGAGGCCAAGGACGAGCACTTTGCTGAGCTGAGGGCGTTACACCAAGACGAGCACGTCAGCCACGACAACGACGCTTTTGACGATGATGGCGGTGATGATGCCGACAACGACAACGACGACGACGACGGCGACGATGTCGATGGGGTGGACTTGGTGCCCGTCGCCTTTAGCGACTACATTCAACGAGACGACCACCTCGACAGCGACAACGACGCTGACGACGAGGAAGACGGCGAAGGCGAGCATGACGAGCATGACCTGCCACCGGTAGACGCCATTGTGGAGGACCTTGGTGAGGATGAAGCGCCGCCTGCGCTCGGCTCCAGCTTATACCGGCTGGAATGCGACGTTATTGACGTGACCCTGTCGGAGGACGCCGCCGAAGACGAGGATGACCAGGCCCCCAACGCGGCAAATGTGGGAGGAACACACGACACGCCACTCGTCCTCTGCAACAGCAGCAGCAACCCCAATGATGATCAGCGTTGATGGTGGCGCTGCTCGTGTGTGGATGTGATGCTGCCGCCCCTCGCTCTGTCACGTCATGTTGTAACCTATCACCACAGCCTCTGTTTTTTTTTTTTTTTTGCTTCTGTGTAATGTAATTGAATCACCTGGCACCCATCAACAGCTGCTTTGTGAGCACATGCCCAAATAAACGGCTTGCCTTTGACGTGAGACAAACGTGCCTTCAGAGAATCAGAGTGTGATGTGGTGTGAAATGATGTGACACAACCAACTGGATTGCTGGGTTGCCTATGCTTTTCGTGAGAGCTTCAGCTTGAACGCGTGAATCTCGTGCGGAACAAGCAGCACCTGACACGAACAACAAATGCAGTGAATGATGCGTGGATGAGAGTGTGTGAGGGAGGGAAGAGATATTGTGTGTGTGTGTATGTGTGTGTATGTGTATGTGTGTGTGTGTGTGCGAGAGAGAGAGAGAGAGTGTGTGTGTGTGTGGTATTTTCAGCAGCAGTATGAACGAGGAACGGAACTGCGTCTGCAGGCACATGTGCACACCTTCGTATCAGTGGTCTGGGGGCTGCGTGACTGACTAAACGCAAGCGAGCGCTCCTGTACATATTTCAACATCATCCATGGTGAAGAAGAAGTTAGACCTTGCGCGTGGTTGCTTTGCATGCATTCTGTGTGTACTGTGTGTGCGTGTGGGTTAAACACTCAACATGCAGACCAATTCGTCCCCTTCCACCAGACAATCTCGGGTTCGCCCTGCCGCACCTCCACCGACGCAATCTTGTGTTTCGCGAATACATCTTGCAACACAACCTGCGCAAGGCAACGGGGGCGAGCGAAGAGGTATGAGCAACAGGACAAGACAAAGATGGTCAAGAGTAACACGACACGCATGAGTTCCAAGCCTTTGAACACACACACACACACACACAGACAGACAGACAGACAGACACACACACACACAGAGTAGCTGGCGCACCTCTCCGCCCGTCTGGCAGGCTGCTGTTTGCGGCTGTTCATATGCGCAGGAGAAAGCGCGACGGTGCAGCAGCAGTGCAACTTCGCCGCTGCTCGCAGCCCACGACCGCATGTTCATCACGTGCACGTCGCACGGCAAGCTCTTCTATTGGCGCAGTTGTGTGTGTGTGTGTGTGTGTGTGTGTGTGTGTGTGTGTGTGTGTGTGTGTGTGTGTGTGTGTGTGTGTGTGTGTGTGTGTGTGTGTGTGTGTGTGTGTGTGTGTGTGTTGGAGGGTGTGAACGTGGGCGAGCGATATTTAAGAGCGCACACATACCCGCACACCTGCACGCGCATCAACAGAGCGTGTGCATCGCCACTGACCGCAAAGGGAAGATAGGACGACGCCACCTCCGGCGCGCTCCCTTGAATCTGACAAATCCCACAGAGCATGGCCACAACACACGTGAGAATCGCATCAGATGTGTGCGTGCGTGTGCATGTGTGCGTGTGCGTGTGTGTGCGTGTGTGCGCACGTGTGTGTGCGTGAGTGACATACAGCAGATGGCAAAGGGAGCAGCACATTGAATACGCACATGGAAGAGGTTCATGGGGTGGTTCAATGCATCCTGCGTGTGATAGTTGAGGAGTGTTGGCGTCTCCACATTCGCACGCGCGGCACCGGCACGCCGCCCTTCCAACAGCAGTTTGAACTGGGAGGTGTGTGTGTGTGTGTGTGTGTGTGTGTGTGTGTGTGTGTGCGTGTGTGTGTGTGTGTGTGTGTGTGTGTGTGTGTGTGTGTGCGTGTGTGTGTGCGTGTGTGTATCGGATGAGACAAAGGAAGAAGGACGGAGGCGTGATGATGCTGGCTGCGATAGAGCGACACGACAATCATCCCTGATGCATTGAACGTGACACATCAAGTCGTTGACAGCAGGTTGTACGTTGAGATCTGTCTTCTTGTTGTCGCGAACGCCCTGTCCGAGCCCGCGCTTGTCGTCTTGCATCAGCCGCCGATCCAGAATCACCTCCATCCACCCCTGCATGGATGTGTGCGTGTGAGTAAGTAGAGTGAGTGAGTAGAGTGAGTAGAGGGAGTGAGTAGAGTGAGTAGAGTGAGTGTGCGTGTGTGGTTGCTTTTTGAGTCAGCAAACGGCCGTAGGTAAACACATGGTTGCTAAACAAGAGACACGGCATATTGGCATTCAAGTCATGTGTTGAACAAGTTGGAGCGTCTGCTGCACCTGGTGCAAGGATGCGCACGCGAGGCTGGATCGCGTGTTGAGGGAAATGCGCCTGGAATTTGGGGGGGGGGAGGGGGTGGTGTCAGTGATGATGACGATGGGCGGTGGAGGTCGCCGTTAAAGTGTTCAAAGTCATACACATATGCTTTCATACACTTTCACACAAACACACACACACACAGACAGAGCACATAGACGCGCCCCTGGTGCGTACTTGCTGTCGTCCTGCAGGAGCAGCTGCGATGGCATTGGATAGAAGTTGGCGTTGAGCGGGAGTTTGTCCAGGAACTTGCGATGACTGCACACACACACACACACACACACACACAACACACACACACACACACACACACACACACACACACACACACACACACACACAAGGAACCAGGGCGGCCGGGGGGGGGTTGAGGGACAGAGTATGGTGGATTTGTAAGGCATGCAGCCAGAGCGGGCATGCGCGTGTGTGTGTGTGTGTGTGTAGATGTGTGCATACATGCGCATATCTGCGTGTGCACACACATCTCTCACCGCAGCTGGAAGCCGTTAAGATCCGTGTAGAAATCAGAGCTTTGGACATCAGTCTGATAGCAATTCCAACGTATGCAGGTGCAGGACTGCTGTGAGCGCAGTGTACAAGCGGGGAGGGGGCGCGATGGCAAGGGAGTCGCACATGCATCCAAAACGAACACGCACACACACACACACACACAACACACACACATACACACATACACACACGTGCACACACACACACACACACACAAACACACACACGCGCGCAAGCAAACAAGCAAGCGAACACAGTCAGCCCGCACACAAGACACAGCAGCAAACAACCACCACCATTGTGCGTGCGTACGCACCACAATGCGCATGACGAGTTCCTGATTGCTGAGCGATCGCACGTCGACGCGATTCGAGATGTCGACGGCGGCAGCGTACGGCGCATCGGACTTGAACACGCGGATCGTCTGCACCACATTCGGCAGCGATACCTGGGAGGAGGGGGACGGAGGAGGAGGAGGTGGTGGTGGTGGTGATGAGCTGCGAGTGACACATTTGAAGATCTTCATCACAATGCTTCAGGTTCCCTGATCACACCACCCCACACCAACTATCACCACCAACTATCACTACCATGACCACCACCACCACCACCACCACCACGCGTACCACGAGTTCCTCGACGATGGGCCCGCGGGTTACGGCGACTGTCGGATTCGGGTGGTGGAGCTGCGCTGCGGGGCCGGCGGGCATGAACAGGTACGCCCCGCTGGTGGTGTGAAGGTGTGTGTGTGTGCGTGTGTGTGTGTGTGTGTTTGGGTGTGTGTGTGTGTGTGAGTGTGTGTGTGTGTGTGTTTGGGTGAGTGGAAGTGCAGACACGACGATAACCACCATCATCAACAACAAGACCACCACCACCACCACCACCACCACCACCCCTCTGACAGCAGCAGCAGCACACCTCCTGTCTGAGCCGCTGCGGGATGTGTATGTGAGAAACTCCATCTTGGTGGAGGTGAGGCCGGTTGTCTGCTGATACAGAGACTGCAGCAGCCCAGACTCTGCATGCGTGGGCGTTGGCGAATGATGCACAGGGTGCATGATGCACAGGAGCAGGGGTGAGCGACGAACACGGACACAAGACGCACAGAAACGAATGACATGAGTCATGTGAAGGAAATATGCCCGTGAAACACACATCCACAACACGACATCCGCATGCACATGCACAAGCACAATGTACGCAAAGCATATACACAGGGCTTGCATTTTACATTCAGAAAGACAGATCATGTGCACCCGTGCACACGCACCGTCAGCGGTTGCTGTGACGTGGGCACCCTCAAGAACAATCTTGCCAGACAGTGCTGCAACCTCAATCCCGGCAATCGACTGTGAAGTGGTGGTGATGCATCAGATGTTCGCAAATGGGAGATGAGGGCAAGAAGGACGGTTGCTCGCTGAATGCATGCGAGCTGATTCTTACAGCGTGCAAACGCACGTAAATGTACACACATACATACACATACGCACGCGTACGCACAACCTCGCACACGTACACACACACGTACGCACAAACCCGCACACACACGCATGCAACCATATGCTATGCGGACCTTTGCGGGCGGATTGAAGTTCCGCACGTCCACACGGGAGAATTCGTGTTTTGGAGGATCGAAAATATCGAGCATTTCAGGGGCAGTCTTGACGGTGTACACGGCGAGGCCAAATGGAGGAACCTCAACCTGGACATGGAGACAATATGGTGCGTGTGGGGTGAAGGTGGGGGGGGGCGAGGGCAGGAACGGGAATAGCTTCGTCACAACAACGTATCCTTTGCACGGGTTGTGCGACAGAGAGAGGGGCCGGAGCAAAGGGCATGCGCACTAGTGTGGCCGCTCACACGATCACCTCAAACACATCCCAGCAGCAACAGCAGCAACAACAGCAGCAACAACAACAACAACAACAACGGCAGCAGCATCGGCAGCAGCGCACCTCAAACCAGATGCGGAACCTGTCCTGCTGGACATTTGGTCCGGGCCCGTCGTCCCAGATGAGCGCAGCCTGGCTCACAATTGTGTCGCCATCAGGGTTGATCACCTGCACGTTGGCGTTGTTGGTGATGACATACACCGCGTCGCGGCGCACGTGGCCTTTGCTGTTGTACACCACCACTTTCCTGCTCTCATCAATGCAGGGAGCAGGTATACGGGTGTGTGTGTGTGTGTGTGTGAGTGCGTGCGTGTGTGTGAGTGAGTGTGTGTGAGTGAGTGTGTGTGAGTGAGTGAGAGTGAGTGAGTGAGAGTGAGAGTAAGAGTGAGTGAGTGAGCGAGCGAGTGAGAGTGAGTGAGGGTGTGTGTGTGTATGTTGAACAACACAGATGTCAACCCGCAACGAAACTGCAACAGCCGATGCATTGATCAACAAACCGTGGCTCTGCGCTGACTTCGAGCAGTTGGTCTTCCGGAAGCGCATCGTGGGTGCGGCGAATGCTCGCAGGCACCACATGGTCACCTGCAGACGTGTTGTGCATGTGCATGTGCATGTGTGTGTGTGTGTGTGCGTGTGCGTGTGTGCGTTTGCGTGTGTGAGTTGTTGTGGGTCGTGAGGAGATGGTGGGTAAGACGGCAGAGATGCACGATGCTTGCACGCAGCAATACACAACAGCCACTCCACACGCCAATCCACCCACGCCACCGAGCAAGCAGCCAAACCGCGGCGTGCACGGCAGGGTGTCAGTACCGTTGGCGTTGTCGCGAGTAAGGAGACCACCAGCAATCATCGCCATGGCGCGATCAGCGGACTCCAGTGCCGCTCGCATCCTGTTGCCGTAATCAACAACAACGTGGTCCTTTGCAGTGCCCGTGATGCCTGCACTCGCATGGGCCACAGAAAGTGAGAGAGTGTGTGCGTGTAATTGTGCGTGCGTGTGTATGTGTGTGATTGTGTGTATGTGTGCGTGCGTGTGTGCATGTGCGCGCGTGTGTGATTGTGTGTGATTGCGTGAGAAGGATGCTCCGTCCAACATGAGGTCCCCAGTGCACGTGTCTCTCCCCTTCGATGTGCAGCAGCGACCGACCGTCGTGGTGTTGGAAGAGGCCGAGGGCCCGCCGCGCGTCCACAAGCGAGTCATACAGCTCCGCCTCCGACTTTGTCAACGGATGCGCAATCTAGTCGCAATAGCGGGCGTGAACAGCACATGAGGTGAGATGAGTTTCTGTTTGTGGCGTGCACGTATGAACATACACGCTGCACTGGTGATAGCAAATTCCTTCCCCATCACATCCCCTTCCAATGTACAACGACTTGTAACCCCCCCCTTCCAAACCCGCAGTTTCTAACAACGACAACAACGTGTCTTTACCTGCCCGGCCTGTGCGATGGAGAAGAGGATTTCCGCTGCGCGCAGTTTTGATTCAAGCACACGGTCCAGGTGCTTGTAGAAGGGGCGAGACGTGAAGTACCCTGTCCAGTAGTTGTCGTTCCTGTCCGCATATGAGAAGAAGTCGCCACTGAGCGTGGGCAGCGACGGCG